AAAGGTTGAACGAATTATGAAAAAGACATCCGAAATGAATTTAGTTCCAACATATTCGATAAAGATATACGCGAAGGGACAACATCTGCCAAAATCAGTGGAAATTTATGGAGTGAATGCTCACTGCGAAGCATATGTGTTTCCTCTGAGAATTTGCTACAAATGTTGGAGGTACGGACACAGTAAGAAGTTTTGTAAGGCAAACTCAGTAAAATGTTGCAAATGTGGACTTGAACATGACGAAGAGGAATGTGAGACAGAAGTATTGAAATGTATAAACTGTGGAGGAGCCCATAAGGCATCAGATAAAAATTGTCCGGAAAGAGACAGGCAAGATAAAATAAGAATTGAAATGGCAGAAAACAAAACCTCATTCTTTGAGGCGGAACAAAAATATCCGAGGAAGAAAAAGTCAGTACAAAGTAGACTGAATTCGAATAAAGACTATCCTTCGTTGCCGAATAGAAATACCGAAAATGATATTACAGACTGGAATTACAAAAATAAGGATGCTACTTCCGAAGGTGGATCTTCGAGTAATGTCAGGACTGGAACATTGAGTAATAACTTGACGAAAGGCTCGGAAGGAAATTGGAAATGGTCAAGGGGAGGATTTTTGAGAGATAAATCGAACCGAAATATACAACAAAACAAATTCCCGCAGCCGGAAAAAATTGAAGAAATTCCTCATATTTTCAATCCTAATCCATATGCAACCACTGAAATAGAAAGATTAGCACACCAAATTAAACAAGAATTGATCGCACAGTTCAATTTGACAGGTATAGTTGAAAAGATTCAGGCAATTCAAAGCACAATTTTGAAAAATACCGACAAAACAGAGACAATAGAACAGGATTTGTTATTAATCAACATAAGTAATCAGTTAGATTCAATCATAAACCCGGAAATATTAGATAAAGCGCAACAGGAAACCATGTCAAACTCAAATTCAAACAATGGATCAGAAGAATTATAAAAAGATAACTATAATACAGAATAACGTTACAAGCATACGACCTATGGACACACGAGAAATGATAAAGAATTTTCTTAATAAAGAAACTGTTGACATAGCTATATTAAGTGAAATATGGCTTAAACCAGGAGAGAACTTTAATTTTCCAGGATTCAAATTTTTAAAGGAAGTCAGGCCGACTGGTTATGGCGGAGTTGGCTTCCTAATAAAAAATGATATTGCAATACATGAATTTAAATTACCTTCAATAAATCCAATAGAAGCAATAGCAATAGAAACTTTGAATACCATTCCAAAAATGCTCATAATATCAACGTACATACCCCCTTTGCCCATAAATAATAATGATATTAAAAATCCACTTAAGAAACTTTTAGACATAATAGAAAAACATAATAAACCAACCATATTAGCAGGAGACTTTAATGCACATAATAAATTATGGAACCCAAATCACCCTAATTGTCCTAGAGGTGAATTAATAGACCATTTACTTGAAAACAGAGACTTAGTTCTACTTAATAACGGCTCCAGTACATTGATTAAACCACCAAATACACTCCCCTCAGCAATAGATCTAACTTTTGCATCACCTTCAATAGCTTGCAAATCAGAATGGACAGTATTAGATCAAGATTTTTTCAGTAATCACAAAATCATCAAAATAGAAATAGAAAACTCAGCTCCCAATAATCAAACCAATGTAGAATTCTTTAACAAAAATCAAGCAGTAGAGAAAATAAATCAAATACAGCCGCAAATGATTCACAAACCTGAAGATATTTCCCCAATAATAGCAGAACAAATTAATTCTTCAAAATATAATTTAAAAATAGGAAAGGTTAAACGAATACCTAAACCTTGGTGGACTAAAGAAATTGAGGAAATACTAGAATCAAAAAACAAAAAATTAAAGGAATTTAATAAAAATCAAACAATCCAAAATTTAAAAGATTTTAAAAGAGAAAGAGCAATATTAAAGAGAAAAATAAGAAGCGAAAAGAGAAAAAGCTGGAAGGAACTAATTAACTCTATAAATCCAGATATGTCTCAGAAAGAGTTGTGGAATACAGTCAAGCTGATAGGAGGAGGACGTCCATCTAAAAATAATTTAATATTACTAAACGACAGACAACTGGCAACACAATTTATGCATGTTAACTTCCCTACAATATCATCCGAAATCAACTATATTCCAATTACAACACAGCAGCAGATAAGAATAGATTTCAGAGATATAAGAAGGATCGTTTATTCAAAAAAAGATCATTCAACCCCAGGACCAGATCTTCTCTCATTTTATATACTAAAACGTATCAATCTAAATTTACAAATACGAATCTCTGAGCTCTTGAATGAAGTTCTTAATTCAGGTAATATACCAGAAGAATGGAGAGCAATCAATATAGTCGCTCTACTGAAGACAGGTAAAGATCCGAATGAATGTAATTCGTACAGACCATTAGCTATGATGAATGTGTTATTAAAACTCATTAACTGTACAGTCAAAAAGGAATTGAACGAGTACATAACAGACAATAACATCCTTCCAATTAATTCTTTTGGATTTCGAAAAAATGTATCAGCAATTAATTGCGTCAATTACTTGGTTTCTATAGTACAACAGTCAAAAAGAGAAGGCCTGGTTATGGTTGCGACATTTCTAGATTTGTCAAAAGCTTTTGATAATGTCAACGTAGATAAACTCTTAGAAACGCTTCGAAAAGAAAGTATCCCTAATTATATAATAAACTGGATATACCATTACCTTAGAAACAGAAAAACTATCTTAAAATTAAATGATGGTACTGAAATTACACACATAACTAATAGTGGACTACCTCAAGGATGTCCATTATCCCCTATTTTATTTAACCTATACACCAAAACTGTACATAAAATAATTCAGGAAGACGGAACATTGATACAATTTGCAGATGATTTCACGGCAGTAATTATAGGTTTCAGTGCAGCAGTAGTATCTAATAAAATGAACATATTTTTATCCAAATTAACAATAGAATTCAGGAAACTAGGTTTTGAATTAAATCCACACAAATCAGCCACAATGCTTTTCACAAATAAATTTAACCCAAACATAAATGTAAGAATCAATAATACATCAGTACCTATAATAGAAAGTCATAAATTTTTGGGAATCCATTTAGATCACAAATTGTTATTCAATAGACATATAGAACAGACTGCTATCAAAGCAAAAAAGAAAATAAATATTCTTAAAATGATCTCCAAGAAACGTAGTGGAGCTCATCCGGAAGAGATGTTAAGGATAACTAAAGCAATAGTTAGACCACACTTAGATTACGGAATTACATTAGTAGCCGCAGCTGCTAAAACCAATTTTGCAAAGCTAGAAACAGTTTATCTCTTAGCACTAAGGACTTCCATGAGACTATTAAAATCAACTCCAAATCATGTAGTTTTATATGAATCAGGTGAACTACCATTAAAGCTAAGAGCAGAAATCTTAGCTCTGAAAGAATTAACGAAAACATTATACTTTAAAAATAGTCCAATAGTAAAAAATCTTTCAGAATTAATGCAACTTAACTATCTACCTAGACATACATCCTTCATAGAAAAGATCGCTTCAATTAATAATTTCCACTTCTATCAACTAGCTGACAATATAGAAATAATAAGTGAACTTACATTAGGAAATAAACTCAAGGTTAATGATGCAATAGATAACCTAAAAAAATCATTTTTTTCAACATCAACCCAAAGACAAATAATTACAGATCTAATCCAGACAAAATACAAAAACACTTATCAGCTGTATACAGATGGCTCATTATTAAATTCCATTCCAGGTATTGGTTTATATGATTCTCAAGAAAAAATATCCTTTAGCCAAAGATTAAAAACAGGTTTTACAATTATGAATACTGAAATAGTAGCAATAATCAAAGCAATAGAATACGCGGAAACCAAAAATATAAAGAAATTAGCTATTTTCACAGATTCGAAGTGTGCTTGCACATTAATTAACAACCCCAATCAAAACGAAAATTATTTGATCAAACAGCTAATAAATATAGTTGAAAAATCATCAATAGAAACAGTCTATATTCAGTGGATTCCTGGCCACATAGATTTAGTCGGTAATGACAGAGCGGATCATGCGGCCAAGCTTGGAACAACTCGAAACACTATAGAACAGTTTAATTTTACCTTACAAGATTTGATTAATATTCTTAAGAAAGAAACAGAAAGCATCTGGCAAGATCAATACTCACAAATTTCATCTGAAAAAGGCAAATTTCACTTTGAACATGCTAAACAAACTTCTTTGTCACCCTGGTTTAAAAAAATGAGCTTTGAAACTTTAGACACCATCATGTTATCACGCATCAGGTCGGGACACATGACAACAAAGGACAGACTAGCTACATGGAAACTGATTCCAAATGATCGTTGTGACCAATGTGACGTGACAGAGAACCTATGGCACATACTGTACGATTGTCCAAAATACCATTCGATTAGAACTGGGTTTCCAATTTTATTAAACAACACTCCCATTCAATTAATTCTAGCCAAAAAAAATGAAGCAGAATATACGGCAATAGTTGAATACCTGAAAACAATAAAACAGAATGTTTGAGTCTTAAGGATTAACTTCGATTTTTGATAAAAAAAAATACATATAAATATATCTAATGGAATATTAACATAAACGAAGAGTATTTACCACTAAAAACACTAAAGGGGCATCAAAAGTTCGAGTTCGTTTCAATCGATGGTTTTGGCAACACAAGACTATTCATTCACAAGACTTGGCTTTATGGATCGATAGATCAGTGCACGAAGATTTGCCGCACTCTTCCCTCTCCCGTAAATTTTGACAGTTTTGGGTGGTTTGTTTTGGCTCCCATTCGTTGCCATCTCTTTTACTCACAGACAAAATGATAGGAAGCAAAAAGTGAGGTTAGGGACCGTGCACTGATCTATAGGTCTGAGCCAGATGACAGCTAGAAAAAAAAAAAAAAAAAAATAATCACTGAAACTCGAAACCATTTCGCGATCGGATCGGATGGCCAAGCCGCGTCCCTGCGTGGTACCCTGCTGTCAGGGTGAAAAGTTCGAATTGGTGCACAAGTTTCCGTCGGATCGGGACCGCGCCGAACTGTGGAAGATGATTTTGGGTGTTCCCGAACTGGGTGCGCTGGATGTGGACACCATTCGAGGGCGGTATTTTGTCTGCAGCCGGCACTTTCGTGACTCCGATTACAAGAACAAGTTGTCGCGGAGTTTGAACGTGACAGCGAATCCGTCGCTAAATTTGACCGACCTTAGCGATGCGGAGGGGTTGAATCGTGTTATTCCGCCGATGGGGCGGCCACTGCAGCCGGGTGGCGGTAGTATGGTGGACAAGGGTACGAACTTGGTGACCGTTAGTTTGGAAGTACAACCGTTTATGTCGGAGGAAGCGAACGAAAAAAATATGTTGCATTGTGATTACGACCCACTGGCTGTTGGCTTGGCGGAGGATCGCCAGTTGCACCAGCAGCAGCAGCATCCGGAGGAATTTGTTAAAGTAGTACCTCGGACGTCGGCATTAGTCGGCCAGAAGCGAGGTCTGGGGACTAGTACAATGGCCGGAAGTACACCGGCGAAGATTTTCCGGTTTAGTAAAAATTTAAACAAGCTGGTCAAGGTGGAAGGAATGTCGGATGGAGAAGGCTCGTCGACGGAGTCGTTGGTCCTGAGGAAGTTGAAGCTAGCGTCACCGCAGAAGAAGATACTGAAGGTTAGTACCGTTACGGAGCCAAAGGTGGAGAGTGTTTCGGCGGAAACGCAGACCGATTTCGAGGAACAGAAAGAAACCGTGGTTAGAGCTCCGAAAGAGCCTGAGACGGTTGATTCGCAGGAAAAAGACAGCCAGCAGGATCAGGAGCAGGAAAAGACTGTGACTAGGGTGTTGGCCTTGCTGGAATGTACGCCGGAAAATTTGCAGAAATTGAAGCAGAAGATGAGCGACGGGGCTGTCGTTTTTGATGAGAAGCTGTTTCAGGAAACTAGCGAGGAACAAGATGAGCAAGCAAAAAGCGGTGAGTTTGATAATGTTGTTTTAAATATATAATAAATAAACATACCTATGCTCGGTACGGGGTGCAAAGGTTAGTGTTCATTAAGCAGCATTGTAACCAGTGAGTTGCGTAAGTGGAAGGAAATCCGTGCCTATGCTTGTTATCACCAGTAGCCTTAAAGCTCTGACTAACTCTCTCTCACCCTTTTAACAGAGCTTTAAGGGTACTAGTGATAATAAGCATAGGCACTGATTTGCTTCCACTTACGCTCATAAAATTACTCAAACCACTTGCTACGGGTCTACCCCGTTTGACATATTAGTCGTTTGATATAATCAGTGTCAACATTTCAAAGGGGCGTAATTGCTTTAGTAAACAATGGCTATAGCCGTTGATTTCTCGAAAATAAAAGCTTACCCCTCCAAATTAACAATGCTAGCTGGTAGAGGAAACATTCCTCTACTTGTTGGTGTCTTGAATGTTCATGTGTGAGCTTTTATTCTCGAGAAATCGGCAAAGTAATTACGCCCCTTTGAAATGTTGACACTGACATGCGTGTTAAAGTTCGTATTGATTACCATCGACGTCGACAACGAAACAGCACGACATTCGTGATCGGCACTTAATCCGAGGATAATACCGGTTGGAGCTTACCACCGTTATAATGTCGTTTAAATTGTATTTACAAAATTTTGATTAATGCAGAAAGATGATTTTGATGATTTTGATAAGCTTAATAAACGAAATGTGGGAAAGAAAGGGTTAAACCACAGACAAACAGACATAACGCATTGTGTATTTTACCCTGTAAAACATCATCACTAAAACACTACCGCCATCTCAACAGATGGCGGTAGTGTGTAAACGTCAAACGCAAAGAAATTGACTATTGATCAACTAACGAACATTGTTTTGTTCGATAAAAAACATGCAATTGTTTATATCTGTTTGTCTGTGATTAAACATTGTTCATATACGCTAAAGACGCGACACGTGTCTCCCGGAACTCTCCGCTCAGGCGATCAGGCCATACGAGGTGATAGTGCGAGATAATGCGAATTTCACTCTCGTTTGGTCTTATCGCGTACGCGTTAGACTTCCAGTATAAATTTAGCACTCGATCATCCAACACTTACGTTTCTCTATCTTTAACAGCGATGCAGCAATCGGCGGCCATTGACGAGCGACAGTTTCTGTCTCTTAAGGGATCGGACTCGGACGAACCCATCCGGGTAAGCTACATTTGGCTGCGGGATCACTGCCGCTGTAGCCAATGCTACAATCACGAAACCTTCCAACGGTCGTTCTCGATTCTGGACGTCCCGGAGGATGTCAGCCCCGCGAGCTACGAGATTCGGGATGGGGCACTCAATGTCTTATGTAAGTTATGGCTACTGTAACGTTTTCGATTGGATATCCTTAACTCTGACGGTTACTCTTTCAACAGGGAAAGACGATCACGCTTCGTCGTACGATCTGGACTTTATCTTCAGCTCCCAGTTCCCGGTGTACAAGGAATCTCTGCTGCTTGAACATTCGCAACCGGTTCTCTGGGATCGGGCACTGATCAGCCAGAGTTCGGAGTACTGTCGAGTAAGCCTCAACGAGCTGCTCTGTGACGACGAAGCCGTCAAGCGTTTCGTCACTAGCCTCATCACGTTCGGCGTGGCCTTTATCGAAAAAGTTCCCACCAATCCGCAAAGCACGGAAATGGCTGTCCGACGAATGTTCCCCATTCATAAAACTCTGTTCGGTGAGATGTGGACCTTCAGCGATTCGATGGACCACAGTGACACAGCTTATACCAAAGACTACCTGGGGCCGCACACCGACAACTTATACTTCAGTGATGCCTCCGGTCTACAGATTCTCCACTGCATTCAACTGAACGCAACCGGAGGCGAAACCATCCTAATCGACGGTTTTAAAGCAGTCGAGCAGCTTCGGCTAAAGAAACCGGAAGTATTCGAACGGCTTTGCAACTACCCCGTCACGGGCGAGTACCTGGAAGAGGGAAAACATCATACCTACTGTGCGCCGATCATCAAGCGGAACATCATCACCGGAGAAATTGAGCAGCTGAGGTTCAACATTTACGATCAGGCCATTTTGAAAACGATTCCACAGGAACAGATGCCGCAGTTTTATGCGGACCTCAAGGTCCTGGGAGCGGAGATCAATGCGGAAGGAATGGCGTGGAAGTTCCAGCTGACACCGGGAACGGTGATGATCTTCGACAATTGGCGGGTGTTGCATGGGCGGCTGGCCTACAACGGAAAGCGTGTGATGAGCGGGTGCTACGTGTCGAGGACGGAATACCAGAGCCTGGCAAGGACGCTGGGGATCATTTCGTGATTGTTTGGAAGCCTCGATAGTAAGTACACTTTTGTAGTTTCTGAAAGAATTGGTTGGAAGCTATAAAGCTCCATAATGTTACGAATGAGATGCGTGGCAAGTTATTGAGATGGAACAAAAGAATGTCCTGGAAGTTCGGTTGAACTCTCCTTTAGATGTCTCAGGCGATTTTGAGTGCTGGAACTATTGCACTTGCGTTGTTTTGGATAGGCCTCCAAGGGATTATCCATATATCACGTGGACAAAAAAAAGCATGATTTTTGCACAAATCTAGTCTTAATGTCATCAATATTAAAATCTAATTTAGGAGCATTCGCCTCTACCAACCTCTGCACTCTATTCTGAGTAACCTGGATTTTTTTCCTATGAGTCTGTGCACATGATTCCCACACCAGAGCTGCGTAGAGGATCACAGGTGCTATGATTTGTTCTTTAGACAGCCAGTTTGTTCACCCTTGAGAGGCGGGATCTGCGACAAATCAGCGGATACAGATACCTAACTAAGGCAGTACACTTGACTACGGTTTTCTCTATATGCGAACGGAAAAGGAGTTTCGACAGACCACTCAACCTTTGTGCCATCCATAATTACAGTTCAAGATGGAGCCGGTTTTAGTTTGGGGGATTGCATGTAGAGGAACATGATTGCTTGAGTTTTTGAGTCATTGATTTTGATTTTCCACGTGGTGGCATAATCAGCAAAGGCGTCAAGGCATCGTTGAAGTTTGTTCGTTATTTCGCGAGGCATCCTTTGACGGCTATTGCGGTATCATCTGCGAACAGGAAAAACACGCAACCGTCTCCGAGAAGAGGAATGTCGGAAGTGTAGATGCTATAAAGCAAGGGGCCCATTAGACTGCCTTGCCGTACTCCTGCTGGGATGGAAAACGTGTCTGAAAGACAACCATTCAACGATACTTTACATGACCTTTGGAGATAGACGGGTGATTTTAACAAGATGCAAAGGAAAGTTGAAGTTGCAAAGCTTGTATACAAGTCCATCGTGCCAGACATTGCCAAACGCTTTCTCAACGCAGCCTTGTTACTTCGGATGTTATTCATCAGCCACTAGCTGATTATTTGTGGAGTGCCCCTTCCTGAACCCGAACTGTTTCGGTAGAATGATGTTGTTTTCCTCGACAAACTTAAGCAAACGATTGAGAATGAATTTCTCGAACAATTTGCTCAGCGCTGAAAGAAGGCTGATTGGTCTTTAGCTTGAAGACAATGTTGGATCGTTACCAGGCTTGCGGATTGGTATGCTTTTTGCTACCTTCCAGATGCTTGGAATGTACTACAGCTTCAAGCATCTATTGAAAGTAGCGGTCAAAGGTGATTACACTTTCATGCTGAGCCTCTTTAAGATTATATTGAATATGCCGTCAAACCCGGGAACCTTCATATTCTTGGTGTTTTTCAGCGCTGAGCAAATTTGTTCAACCGTAATTTTATCCTCCGGTGGTACGGCACAAGGAGAGGCATCTAATTTGTGGACGGATTGCACAACCTGTTCTTCGAGCGGACTTTGGATGTAGCGACATGCTCGCCGATCGCATTTGCTTTCTTCTAAGGGGGGTGATCTAAGAGCCGGACGTCATCATTTTCGACTCTGAGAGGTGGAACAGGTTTGGGATGAGACTTCAAGACCTTGGCTACCTTCCAGAATGGTCTGGAACGGTCATCCAGTGAGTCCATTCTGGAAGCCCGTTCAGCTCGTCCATTTCACGTTTTTTGCCCAGATCTCCAGTCCTCTGAAACTGGCGTCTACGAACATTTCTCAACCACATCAGTAATTGGGTGTGGGAATCAATAGGACCAAGCTTACCCCTCACATGAACTTGTCGAACACATGCCTCGTCAGCCACGGATACGGCCTGGTTCCAACGCCCGGTCGATGTCATCTACGGTGTCGAGCGTTGCATTTTCACCGATATTTCTGTCCACCATTCGTCCGAACTGCACCCAGGTGACATGGTGGTTGTCTTTACGCAGGCAGCTTCCAGCAAGAACCACGTTGACACCGACTTCAGTCACCACCGGTTGGTGGTCGGAGCTGAGATCGTTGTGCGCTTCCGGCTTGGATAGTCCGATGTTCAAGAGAAAAAAAAATCAGGGTGGAGGGATTTCCCGCCGAAGAGATGAAAGTTTGTTCGTCCGGAACACCCCTGGAGCAGGTGCGATCAAGTCGGATAATGTTGTGGTCAGGCAACTAGAAGCTGTCGCCGGACTTTAGGTGGGTCTCGGTTAAAAGGCCCACGTCGATTTTATGCTTACGGAGGAAGTCGGCAAGCTCAATCTTGTTTGCTCTTATAGAGGTGATGATAGTTAGCGGTTTAGACATCATGCTGGATGATGAACTTACCGAGTACTTGGATCTGATCGGGCTTATCCGCTGAGAACAGCACGGGGTTGTTATTTTGCAATGTGGGTTGTCTGCAGAATCCAGGAGGGATGGAGATGATTGTCCAGCAGAATCACCGGAAGCTTCATGACGGGGATTGCATCCGTGAATTCGCTTGTCCACGAAGAGGCGGAAAGTCCTCCGCCTTGAATGCTGGGGCCTTATCCTTCCTTCGTCCTAGTTGATTGTTGGTGGATGCCTGTTTCCGGATGCGCTTGAAATCCTCGTGTTTAGGGCACTGCTTGTCCGATCCTTGGTGAGCACCACCACAGTTGACGCATTTGGACGCCACAGCTTCATCTGCAGCACATTCGGAGGTGGCATGGTCTTGAGCGAAATTCGCCGCAGCGTGGCTTAATGTTGCAGTTGCGGATGCCGTGTCCGAAGTTCAGACACCGTTGGCACTGGCTCCCAGCGGACGATGATGGAATTGATTGAGCGGATGGCTTTCAGCGCGTTGAGCGTCATCGTTCCCTTCCAAAAGTGTACCACGAAAAGACAATCCGGATACGTTTTCACATTCTCATTTATCCTTGTCATCCGATAGACGGCACTTGGGGCCAGCTTGTACCGGTCTCTGATTTCTGCTTCGACAAACTTCGGTCGAAGTTTGGTAGGCCCCTAATGACGACCTTGAACGGTTTCTCACCGGGAATGTCGTGGGTGAAGAATTCCACCTTGGAAGTCCTCAGGTGGGCGACGACCAAGCCATACTACCAACAATCAATACGAAACTAACGATTTTAAATTGGCTCACTACTTGACTAGCCTATTGGTCCCAAGCAAATCGACTAACGTACCCCATTCTTCTATAAATTCCAGTACTACACTATGTTTGTTTTGATTCGCTATGAAAGTTTGACAGATAAAATGAGGGGTTAGTGGATTTTCCTATGTTTCAAGGGGTGAATCGATTAGCTTGGGACCGAAGATAGTACCAGAGCTGAGCCAAAAAGTGGAGCTCGTTTCTTCGGGACCTTCTGGTCTTAGAGTTACCTCTATGATACTACGCTTTCATACGGAGCACCACCTTGGTACCGAGTCAGCCCAACTTGATTTCGGCTTTCGGCTTCACACTTAATCTAGCTCGGTAAAATCTTCAACAGCCGATTACCTCGGCATTTACTTTTGCTGATATCTCTGCCAAATATCACTTTGTTAGCTGATATCTCAGCAAAATGTTATTTGTTAGCTGAGTCTCGGCAATTGTTTTACTGAATCTCAGCAAAATAAATTGCAGAACTACTCGGCTGTTGGAATCTCGGCGAAAAAAATTAAATGTGATCTTCTTCTTTTTCTGGTCTGAGCTGAACTGCCCATAAAAGCATAACTGTCCCATATGAATAAGAAATCAAGCAAAGACGGGACAATTATGCTTTTATGGGCAGTGAAGCCGTCACTGTTAGCTCGAGGGGGATTCCCTGTGTCACTTTTGATTTGGTTCAATTGGCGTTGACGGCGACTCTGTAGCTCTTTACTCCTATGGTAAAATCCATAAGCAAACGTCAGACTGTACGTGAAACATGGCGGACTTCGTACTATCCTTTCACTCCACCGAAAAATACCATAAGAAACTGTCAATCTTTTCTAGAAGAGACGATTTTTCGACGGTGCCGTCAACAGCAATTGGCTCACAGGTCTAGTTTTGTTTCCAACAGAGCTGCATACTTCTTTGTACAATTTTAGGTTTTCCAATTTGAACAGATCGGATAGGTTGTGGTGTTCTTTAGTGAAGGAGTATTTATTCCTAATGTGGTTGAATCTTCTACAACGTAAAATCAGATGTTCCGCTGTCTCGGCTTCGCCACATTCCTCACAATTCGGATTTTCCGCCAGATTCATTTTTGCTAGCTAGAATTTTGACCAATCATGTCCCGCCATGAGTCGATTTAGTAACCGAATTTGCTGTCCGTTTAAAGCCAGGTTGGTAATAAAAGGCTTCTCCAGAATTTTGGATTGTATCTTGAGAAAAGTCTTGCTTTTTTCCTTTGCGTAGTCCCGATACCAGTTGTTGGCTTGTATATGTTTTCATTTTTTCAGGATCCAGTGGACATCCTTGTGTGAAATCGAATTTTCGAGTTTCTCGATGTTTTCTTCGTCTAGTCCGAGCTTGGCCAACTCCTCAGCCAATTCATTTCCTCTTTTGTCCACATGGCTTGGTATCCACTGTAATGACACTCTCCAGCGTTGTCCAACATTTCACATGCTGCTTTGGAATCAGTGAAGTCGACATGTCCTTCCAACTGTTCCTCTTGTACTACATCCAATGCTGTTTTGATGGCTATGAGTTCAGCTCCTGTTATGCTTATTTCGTTGGTAAGGTGAAAGGAGAATCTTCTCCCTTTACTTGCCACAAATATTCCTATTGCACATTTACTGCCTTTTTTGAAGCGTCCTCTGCCTTTGTATGTGTTGAATATTAAGCAAGTTCGTCTTCGAAGTAACTAGACCATCCAGTGAACATCTGGTTTGAACCTTCAGTATCGTATTGCAATAATTTTTTTTAAATTAGCATAATGTTGTCGAACAGTTGGAAATGATTTTGGAAAATCCTTTCCATATACGAGAGTTTAGATTCTTCTGTTCTGTTATTAAAGTTTGCTTGTATCAATTTACAATATTGCATACTACTTCGAATTAGCGCCTTATGT